TAGAGCCCAAATTTCACTGCAGCGTTAAGTTTAATTATAATTTTAATTATGCGCTAGCGTCAAAGCAGTTTCGTGTTCGGCTTGTAACGCAGAAACGTATGTGAGTATTAAAGGCGAACAAGCAAAACAGAAAACTGAATACAGAAACGTTGGTTCCGATGCCTTACCGCCATTACTACAGTAATGAGTGCACGCTGAAATCAACGTCGGGGAATCACATGAAAGATTATGAAAACTATAACGCGTTTCTAGCTTGAGAAAAAAACTGGCATTAAAAAAATAAGTCTAGGACTTGCCTCTTTGATCTTTCAAGAAATGTCGAAGTTATGAATTTAAACTAACACACATGAACAATACTAGTTAGGTGTTAGGTTACTTTTAATGTGATTTTTTTTCCAATGCCGTACTCTAATTTTCTATTAAAAACTACAAGATTTCTATCAGAAGATGAGAATACCGTAGTATTCAATGTGTATCTTAATTACTTACCTACGGTATGTGGAAAATTTTTCACACCGAACAAAAACGATAAACATTGAGTACACGTTTATGAAAATAAATGTTAGAAAGAATTTAGTGACAAAATTAGAGCCAAGAGCTCAGTTTCCATGTGCTCGATTTAATTCGTTATACTCCAGCAACCTGGGTTCAAATCTCGGTGCAAGCACCAATGAAATTATTAATTTTAAGTGTTGACTTTCACATGGTCAGCAGTGAAGTAAAATATCATGCGTAAACCAGCATGTTTTCGAAATAATAACAAAAAATATTCCGCAATATGTGAAGCAAAACCGAAGTGGGGTCGCGTAGTGGGCTACGCCCTAGTACCGTATGTACAAAGGAGGCCTTTGCCCAGCAGCGGGATTTGTAGATGGACACTTAACTCTCTGACGAAATTTATTGTTCAATCTGGTTGATGTGACGCTATTTTTAATGCAGCGTAAGCAGACTTTCCAGGTATCAGGAGTTTAGCCGTAAAACGTAAGAGCTTAATATGCACATTCAGCATTGGTGACTACAGAGAAAGGATTCGTAGCACGTTTATTTTAGTTCTGAATATCTTATTTACTTAGAAACATGTACTTGAAAAAAAATTAAATGATAATTTAATTTTGTTGACGACCATTGTCACAAGAATTATCCAAAATCCCTAATTCTGTTCATACTGACGTAACGTCTACTTAACAATGCATTGCTCTAATATGACAGTTAAATTCTCTCGTGATAGAATGTCCGCGTACTAATGTAAGGATTTAGATAGAGATCCACTGATCCTAGATGTCAACATCTCTTCTTAGTGAAGAGAATACATTATGAGTAATCTTGGTTACTTTAGCCTTTTAGAAAACTTTCTATGACGCGGAAGGATAAAGCTATCTTAAATATTTCGCAATGTGTACGGAGTTTAATGATAGACGTTATTTTTATTAAACGTTACATCAAAATGAAGGTGATATATACGGTTATACAAACTATAATAAAATGGACACTAGTGTTGATGATATAATCTTCAATGCATAAATATTAAGAAAAGTATAAATTCCAGATTTATAAAGACAAATGACTCCTCTATATGATTCAGGGTCAATAATAAGTCTAATGATACATAGATATTCATGTCACTTTGCAATTAACCAGATAATATTTCAACTACTATACTATGAGATACAGATGAATTTATATTGAAATTGAAATAGTGTTTAAATTTTTTACTTTTCTATTTCCAGTTACTTTACAGCATAAAGCAAATAACTAAGTGTTGTTTTTATGGAGATAACCCGGATTGTCCATAATTTGCAAAAATCTTAAATTAACACTTCATTTAAAGATCTTGGTATTAACATGAAAATGAGCGGATCACGAGTCAGATGTAGTTGTTTATCGTTCTTATTTTTGAATATAAAATATTTAATAATACGTAAAAAATAAATATTCACAGAATAAAACTTAACTTTATGTCGTTCAGTAAGTTTGTTAAGGTGTTTCTGAATTGAAGGAAAATTGAACTATTTTTGTGGCCAGATTGATGTCTTAACCTATTTTTAACAACAGTGATACCTTCCGGCGGTAGAGTCTGCCATCAGTGTATGATGCATTACTCGTTCGATATTTCTATCGGCATGTGTTCCAATCTCTTGCCAAGTATAATAGAAATAATGTGAATTTTATACTGAAGGAACTTAATATTAGATGTTATGAAAATGAAAAGTTGTGTGAAGTTCTATAATTTAAAACGGGTAGGTAACGAAGTGTCATCAAACTGATTGGTAAGGCTGATAATAGTCATTATAGGCTAAATAGTCCATAGTGGGTCAATTTTAAGGATTGTTAAATACAAATTTGAGTTCTAACTGCATTTATCCCGAAATATAATATAATTTACGATACAATTCAGGTTATTCATCATCCACTAATATGACCCCTTTTTCTGTTTTCTATAAGAACAACTGTTAGAAAAAATTGTGTGAGGGTTTTGATCTTAACGTTAATACTTGAGTTATAGTGTAGTTGTTAATACAACGGTTCAAACAGCTTCTAAAAACATATGACGTCGCCTTTGGCTAAATCGGTATAGAGTTCGCTGCTACAATCGTAGTCTGTAAACAGCCAGTTTGCTGTTGAATAAAAAAAGGCTTGACTTTTAATTAACTAAACTATACTAAACAACGCATTTATAACAATATATCGTCCTCTACGATAATACACGATCTATTAAGAATTTGCGTTACGGATTCTACTTACAACTAATAATTGACCTAACTTAACTTTAACTTGCGATGAGAAGATAACACAATTTGATGATCTTTAAGAATAAATCAGATAAATTTCTATTTCATTTACGTTTGTCTTAAACCATCCACTAAGATTCGTCAATAGCAATATTCAGACTGAAAGCTTCTGAAAACCCTTTGATTGCATAAGAGTTGGAGAGAGTGACGTATTTTGTTCATCTTTGAAGTTGATATTATTCTGTCATCGTATTTGTAGTGTCTTTTCACTGGAGCTACGAGAATGTTCTCTTAATAAAAGAACGCTTTGTCACTTTGTCACATTTTTGCCACCCTATTATCATAGATATTTATACTTTGTTTTAGGAGCGGGGTCAGAAAAAATTAATATAACTGTTAAGCAATTGTAAAATTAAAAATCTTTCGATTCATAAGGACGCGCAAGCGTCTATTTGAATAAATATATTTTTGATTTGATTTGATCCATAATGACTTGTTAAACGTGAGCAATAAAAGTTAACAGTCGGTGATTTGTTAATTTTCCAATATTGTCAATAAAACATGTATTTGTATTGTTTAAAACGGAAAGTTTAAATCGTTTCAGTTTCAGAGAGTATTTATTATTAGATGTTATATGAAGAAAACAAATAAAACTAACTAGTTTCCTTTCAAACAAAATGTTCCGATCTATCGAGTTGAACCTAATATATTTTACGCGATAACTAAAAATTAGCTTTTTGCTGATTGAGGAACGGAATCAGGAACTTTAACAGTTTTCATTGATTGTTCTATTTTTGGTTCATGGAATGCAAGGGCATGCACTTCCATCAATAAGATTGGCGAAATACGAAGCTACTACTATAAGGTACTGTATAAAGTGTTAAGATTGGAGAATGCTAGAGGCAGGTCGGATTCGAAGATGTGAAGTGAGAATATAAAATAATGAAAAAGTAATTTCTATGATAATCAAAGAAATATGATTTTAAAGAATTCAACACTCCTATGCCTTCAGTTATGGCGAAGTCGCCTAGACTTGTGTAGCCTGTATGATAGCTGTCTTCTGGATTCATCGGCGTCGCCTCTCCCAATTATTGTCACGTAGGTAAGTACTACCGGACTCCGTATCGCTAATTTGTTTAATAAACATGAATTAGTCGCCTCGTACGTTGGTCTTCGTGTCACGTGACCATTCGTAGTAAATAATATTGTTGCAATGTCAAGTCTCAAGTGGATGTAACCAATACGCGAGCAGTTATGTGTGTGGATTACTTATGTCAATTGAACTAGGTACATACATACATCGCTGAATGGACATTCAGTCGTCATGTTAAATAAAGATTATTTTCAACGATTTTTATTAAATATATAGTATATTTTCGAACCATGGTCGAGGAATTTTAATGAACATCGTTTTACAAGTGAATCGTATTAAAATTTATACAAGGAACATTGAATAGCATTGTCTTCATATCAACCCAATAAAGAAACGGTTTTGTCGACTGGAATTTTTGTTATCTTTTATTCTTAGACACGTTTTATTTCGACGGTTTCTTTTCTTGTTTCAAACGTTTCTTTGAATAGGATCAGAAATTAAATCGCGGTTTTATTCTTTTTGAGTGGCTTGCATTGTAGTCGAACTGCATACCGATTGATTTATGTGTCTTAATTTTAAATAGCAGATTTAATTGTTGTTAATAACATATTTGTTAATATACGAAACAGATTTTCTGACGTAGTTGTGCTTTATTTTCATATTCTTCTTAAATATTTCCTTCACCTTCATCTCTTGTACATGCTGCTTGATTTAAAAGGAAATTTAATAATTTTAACGTGCTCTGGAATTCAGGAAACACGGTTTATTTTGAGTTTAACGAACAATGCACTCGTAATTTATTTGGCAGCGGCAATATTTTCGACGGCACGAATCGAATTAATCGGGTTAACAATTATTATTCGTCATTCACTTTAAAAAAGAAATCATAGCTTGATTATTGAATGTTAAAATTTATTTGTTTTATTTTTCGCATGTACATTGTACACGTATACGGTATTTGCTAATATTTTTACGATAAAACATCAAGAAGCATAGACACAACGGATACACGTCGATACAAACAAACATTGTGGGGATAACATTTAATAAGCTGACACCCTGATATGATTCATCTACGAACGTATATGCGGTGTCCCCGTCGCGACATTTTTCGCTTCGATAATCTTCTATCAAACTATTTGGCACTGCACTCGCGTGTGACTAGGTTGAGTCGCTCAGCTCGAGCTTACGGGCCCGCAGTATGTCAGCGCGCGCGGCTGGGCAGTTTGAGACTGTTCAGTGGGAGCGTTTGTCGCCGGCTGGAGGCGAGCCATGCGCGTCTCGCTTCTCCGCTGAACGCGCCCCGCGACCATGGTCAATGTTAATGGCTCCACAGTTGTTCCTTAACTCCGATGAGGTCGAATATAAAAAAAAAATATCGCGGAAATTCGGATAGACTTGAGCGGGATATTTGAGAATGTCGAATGTTGAATGAGTTGAACGAGAGGAACGTCTCTCTCTCCCTTCTTCGAAAATAAATCACATGACCATCCAAATTGAGTAATTTGGTATGGTGTATAGGTAGATATGCTGGCAGTCTTCTCTGTAAAAGTTGTATTAGAAAAAGAAGGTAAGTTTGGATAAAATATTTAGAGTATTTTTCTACGTTTAGTACTGGCTATCAAACTTAAACGATACGGCTGATGTAATTTACATGAGGTTAAAACTTGAGGCGGCCCCTCGAGTACGATTTCGGGGAAATAAATGAACGTTAAACGTATCGACCCAGATTAGGTATGCGAAATAACGTTGGAAGTATGCTTTCCGTTACTAATGAGAAATTTTAAACTAAATTTTATCAGCTGAAACAATGGATTAATTATGAACGGTTGGCAAAAGCAATATGGAGTACACGGAAATAATACGATATTGTATTAAAGGGTCACTACAATAATATTATATAATAAAAAAGAACCTTCCTAAATAAGCATAAGCGGATAACTTCAATATAACATAAGTTTTGAGTCCTTAATCGAGTCTCTACATGAGATTTATTAAAAATTACATAGCATATTAGTTAAAGCAATTTATATTCAAATTCATATAGTACTAGAAATAAATGAATTGTTTAATAACAATATATTAACAACAATAATGTTTTAATAATTTACCATAGAGTACATCGATAAAAAAATAAGCATAAATTACGATAATAACCATGTGTTCCAGTTACAGTGCAAATTTTTATGTATTAAATAAACGTTATTACATACAAAACGACCGACAACTATTTTATGTTTTACATAGTGTTTTTGCTGAGAATTACTTTTGTGTTCTCCAGACATTCGAACGTAAAAGGAATAGTGAATGCTTTATTTATAATTCATTAGCACTGCCACTCCAATTTCCGTCGCTTTCTTGAGATTTAGATTTGACCAGCATTAGGATAATTGACAAAAAAAAGTTTACAATAAAATTTTCTTGATCATTCAGTCAACCTTTTAACATTTTCAGATGATATTTAAGATTATTTGCTGCTTGGAAAAAACAAATTGAGGGTACGTTACTTTGCACTGTAAATAAAAATAAAAACAATTTTTATTCTTAAATATTTCACAATTATTGTTTTGTTGGTGGATTTATGAATAAATACACTGAGTGAAACCAGAAATAAAATGAACAAGATGGGAAAAGTGTTATTTAGGCTTATTATATTAGGTTTCTTTAGAAAATAATTGCAATACATGACATGAATGTTTACTTCTTTCTTTCTTCAAGGGATCAATGAGACACGATTAAAGAAGCTAAGAAACTTTGAAGTAAGGTCTGAGCTTTACACACATTACCGTCATACACTAAAACTTCAATATCTCAGTATAAAAAAATGGTGGCTAATATTTTTCACATTTTCACTAGGACTTTGTGACTCTTTTTAATGTTAGTGCCAAAAATTACGTTGGGTCGCTTTGCGGAGAGATTTCCAAGTAGCAGTAATTCTCATTGGAAACATATGAAGATAATATTATTTGATTATCTTGTTATATAGATTTCGGAAGAACACATATTTTAAAATAATAAAATCTGATTCGTGATCGTCGACCAATCCGAACAATCCTACGAATTTCTGTGATGCTTCTTTAAAAATATATTGTTTAGAGAAAGGTGTGTGGTGTTACACATAATTATTTAATTTATTTATTAAGTATTTTATTTGCATTACTTAAAAAACGAAAAATTCGCTTTCTTACGTATATTAAATTTAAATTAAACTGAATATACGCGTCACAAATGTCCAAATATATCATAGGCAAATTTCACAGCCTTTTAATATTAGAATAAAGAACTTACAGAGTTAATTTTTTGCCATTGATTGAAATTACATTACATGAACTATTCAAATATGCATATTAAAAGCGTAAAAAAGAAGTTATTACAACGGTTCGTTACGAGTCTGGTGAGTGAGGTAGCCGGAGCCCAATTCTCAAAAGGTTGTCAACGCATCTGTTACCTCTCGGGTGTGGCAGTTGTCCATGGGCGGCGGTATTCACTTAACATCAGGTGAACCGTCCGCTCGTTTGATAACTTTTCGCATAAAAAAAAATTGTTCTCATCAGTGGCTAAGTACTACAGGGCAAGCATGTAGCAGATTATTATCGGACACAGAATTTCTATTAAAACTGTGCGAGTTATAAAGGCGCTACACACTAGTTATAGCCCGCTGGCATCAAGGGTAAGGGTGAGAACTGACATTTTGACTTTGACGTACTCACACGATTGACATTTGCAATCCGGCTGAATGCCAGAAGGCGGTTAGGGCGCTAATCGTTTTATGGAAGCGGATAGAACATAAAAATCATACGGCTTTATTAATATGTGGTTTTAGTTTTTAAATCGGAAGTTTGCTTTACGGTTTTTAAACTATAATAGTTGTTTAAAATACAATATTATAATAACATTATTGTAAGGTACTAGCTGCTGCGTAAAATAGGCTATAGGCGTAACATTCAGACAGAAAGGCCACACATATATATGACATAAAATATGTATATAAATTATAGCCTGTGTCTTAATCTGATGTATAAGCTATATTATTGTAAAGTTTCATTAAAATCCATTCAGTAGTATTTGCGTGAAAGAGTAACAAACATGCATCCATACATACAAACTTTCGCCTTTATAATATTAGTAAGGATTTATAAGGTAATTTGGAGAGAATCGAATTAGTCATTCTTTGTCTAGGCAAGTGATCTATAGGTAGAGTTTAGAATTTAGTTGTCAGGTGAGGAAATTCGATATACTATATTATTGATGTTTATCATATCCTCAGTAAAAGCTCTCATTATACAATAAACTGCAACTATGTTGATTCAATTGAGCGAGTGGTGTAGGTTATTAAGATATAAAACGTTTAACTACGCTAGGATTAGCAAAGTTAAAGGTTTTACTATAAAATATTACTTTCTTTCGCATTCTGCGAAGATGATTTTGGTATATCACATTAATTGTACCATTGCGTGCTAGTGCGAGATAAAAAGGCACTTAAGAGCGCTGAAAAATTATGCCTTTGTTTATTTTTTTTTAATGTTTTCATCGGGATTTATTGCTGTTGCTAAGCGTTTACGACACATTCTTGCGATTCATTGCGATTCCTCATAAACGAGTTAAGAAACAAACCGCCGCCCTGGTGGCCATAAAGCAAATGAACAATTCACTTTGAATCACGTACCACGGTGAAAGATAGTAAACTCCATTGTCCAGTAAAATTACAGGCTCTTTATTTCCTAAGAGGATGATACTAACAGATATTCACTGAGCTTATTCATTCTCAGAGTTGTAAATTGATCGTCATTTTCAGATATGTAAATTTTCGCTTAACCAGTGTAAATCCAATAAAGAAGCATAATTATATTCTTGGGCATAGCATTCTCGACCTAGAGACTAGAAGATTTCACAGTGTTTATATAATTTAATATCTATAGTGCCATTATAGCTCATTGTCCGGGCGCTTGCTTTTAATTCAAAGTACTCGAGCTACCGAGTTCGATCCCCGGTGCCGGCACCAATGAAATTGTTAATTTTGTGCTGACTTATTACCGTTAGCAAACCTTCATATTTTCGAAATAATAAGAAAAAAATAATATCAAAGACCTGTAAATTCCGCCAATCTGCCGTGGAGTCACGTGGTGGACCATGCTGTAATAATCTCTGTACAGAGATTTTTGCCCAGCAGTGGGACATTTATAGGTTGTTACTTTTTACATTTATCTATACTCACAAATATGAATGTTGTATCTTGTATTAACTGATGTTTTTGCTTTCAGTCCCGAGACTATTAAAGCTTCATCTGACGCAGAACCGGTGGGCTAGCCAGAAACCACGGGTTTGGACAAATATGAAGTTATATGTTTCGAAATACTTATAATCTTAGTGATCATTGATGATGACATTAAATATATAATGAGAAAGTTTATTTGGAAACGCGGTAAATCAATCATTACCAAAATAATTACGATTAGCGGCCATACTAGTAAAAAAAAAGTTGTAAACTAGTTTATAGTTAATAAGTGTGTGTGGTTATCGACATAAACACTCTCTCTTTAGCATGCTTAGTTTATGTAAAAATAATACTAGTGATTTGCATCTACATTTCTATATGAAAGATCCCATTAAATGAATCTAGATTGCGGATTTTATCGCGTTTTAATTTTGTTTTATAATTCTCGACGTTTCGACCCTTTCTAGCGTTCATTTTTTATGTTTCATTATGTTATGTTTTATCTATATCTATTATTATATTTTGTATTCACAGATGAAAAATGCCCTAATGGAATCGGTTTGTTTCAAAAAAATAAAACATCGTCAATACATGAGTTCAATTTCTCAATGGCTAGATGTCTAACAGAATCCGCGGATGCCCTTGACGATCTAGAACATTCAGATTGATGTAAAAATAATTCGAAATAATTCGAAATGCAAATAAAAATGAACGCCTCATTGAAGCCTAGACGAGTATCAGCTTTCGCAATGCAGCACCTTTCACTTTCGCAGAAGAATGGAGTCTCTGTCTTCTGTATTTCTCTGTAGACCGAATTGACGCGTGTATTGATTTCAAAATAGCTGATGTCATGTCGACTTTTTGAATGGAACACGATGGGAAAGTAAATTCACGTGTTATAAGTCATTTCACAATTGGCACGTCCAATATGCTTCTTAGTCGGTTTACAGGTACAATAGGCTCATTGTTGGCGTTAGCTCGTAACTATTTTGTCCGCGTAGGTATTAAAAGTATCGAAGTTCGATGACAGGGCAACGGAACTTTTTCATGATAATTTCTTGTATTTACGCGATTACACATTGATTAGAAAATTTTTCATATTAATACTAATTTATTACCTATTTTATTCTTCCATAGCAATGTGCAAATCATTTGCTTAATAAAAATAGTTTATACGAGTGTAACATATAAATGTGTTATCTATAACTTCGTAAAAAATCTGTCACGACAAAATATCTCGAACGCCATTGATTTATTTCATTGACAAATGTTGAGCTAATACTAGGCCTCCTCTAAGTAATCACTAGTTTTATTACCAATATACTGTGTTACCTTTGTTTCATTTATTCAATATCTTTATGTCAATATATGGCATTTGAGATTCAAAGGAAATTTATATATTCAATTGTGAATAGTAGTAATTAGTTGGTTTTTCATCTTTTAGGCGAAAAAAAAGTAGGAAGTAAAACAAGCGATGACGTGCGTGAGATTTTTATATTCAAGGTTATGTGTAAAGTGGATTACCACCTTTAATATAATCTTTCGTACGTAATCCCTTATCTCTATCTTAATGTTTTACAGAGACTTTACGTTAATAATGTAGACAATATTGAAATAAATATGATGAATCATATAAATATAAATAAAAGCTTTTAACGAAGTTATAAATCTCAAAGAAATAAATTAAGTTTATTAAAATTCCTCTACTTAGCAAATATCCCGTATTGGTAAAGTATTGAAAACTCGCTATTTTCCTTGACTTTTTCAAATTCGTTGTTACTTTAGCTAGTATCGAGATCTCAGATACTTATTTTCTTGTAAAATCTGGATTACTCCATGTAATATAAAAAGGGATTAGGTCGGAGTGGTTTTATTGAAAACGGCCATAGCTCAAATACAAGGAAACAAACTTCACTAACTACAACAATAAAGTACGACTGGGCGCTGAATATACCCTATGTCCGTAGTGGAGATAATTAAGGGCGTACCTAGAAGTAGGGTCTCATCGTCGAGCGCGGTGACGAGAGAGTCGGTGCAGCAGGTGTTCGTGTTGTCGATGGAGATCCGCACGGAGGCGCAGTCCGCGGGCGAGTGCGGCAGCTGCTCCGCCGACTGGGCCGCGACGCGCCCGTTCGCGAGCCGCAGCGACGCCGCCCGCCCGCCCGTGCCTGTCGCTGCGCCGCCTCCACCATCCTCGCATCTGGCGGAGAAAGAGTAGTTACAATCGCATCTGGAGGAGAGACAGAAGATAAAATTTTAGAGACTCCTTTCGGAACTGGTGGGGCCTCGCAGCGGCTTCTGCAATTGCACAAGAGGCAACCGGAGCCCACTTTTTAAAACATGGAAACGCCTAACCCGTAAGGCGCTGTACATGCCCTTCGCCGACGGTAATCCCTTAACATCAGGTGAACCTTGCCAACGTGTAACATGAAAAAACACGTACACTAGATGAACAAGGCTGTAATTTATACACTTACAATAGCTTAAAACAGATATTACCGCTAGATTAACAAGGCTGTGATTTAGATGTTTTAGTGATATTTTGCAGTCAAGATGAAATTGAAAAGGAACGACAAAAAAACTTCTTGTTTCAACTTTTATTGTAAAAGTAGCGACTGGTCCCGGCTTCGCACGGGTGCAATGTATTATATACATATAAACCTTCCTCTTGAACCACTCTATTTAGTAAAAAAAACCGCATCAAGTTCCGTTGCAAAGTTTTAAAGATCTAAGCGTACATAGGGACAGACAGACAGCGGGACGACTTTGTTTTATACTATGTAGTGATGCACAGCAAAGAGACGTTTACATTTCAAGTGACATTTTACTACAGTCTGAGTGACTGTTTTGCCATCCCCTAACCTCTCCATTAACACTTAAACTTTATGGTATGCTATTAAAGTTCAAATTGACTTTTAAGTATTATTACGAATCTTTTGTACGGGAATATAGAAAAATTTTGTTTTTAGACTTTTTCAGGCATTTTTTTTAATTTTTTTCTCCGTAAGAGCCATCTTCCTACTTACAGGAATATTATAAAAAAAGAATTAGCGAAATCGGTCTAGCTGTTCACGCGTGATGGCGTGACCAAGGGAAATAGGGATTCATTTTTAAACGGTTTTATTTAGCTCGACCCGTACGGAATTTGTTTGTTTGGGTCAAAATTAGAAATTGAAATTTAAGCACCTTGCCGTTTTCAGATTGATCTGAAATTTGGTACACACATTTAATTTAGATGACAATACAATATTAACAAAAAAAAAATAATTTGACAAAAAAAAAAAACATAAAATAAAACCGTTTAACTTAAAAGTTTTTAAACGGTTTTATATTATTATATATATAGATGCTGTTGATGCTCTCGAATAATGGGCGTGTAGGTTGACTGCGTGTTTTACTGTTTTCAATTCGAGCAACAACGAAAATATTTTAATAATTTATCTATTAAACTCACATTTAAAAAGACTGATGAATTTAAATAGAAGATGTTACTTGGAGAGCCATCGTAATCAAGCAAATCATTAAAGTAGATAAGACTGCCATATTGGGTGGGGTGGGAGGTGACACGTTGGAGTTATACACTGGGTTGCGTTTCACAGTATGTACAACATTGCCATGTGGCTTGTCTTCTTTTTCTTTGATTAATGGTATCTCTCAAAAGAATACTGACAATGTCATATCAGTCAAGAGCGTCACATTTATTAATAAAGTACAAAAAAAAAAACAGGTTTGTGCGATACTTTGGAATCTACAAGCACAAAAAAGCATTTATCATCCCATTACCAAAATTAGTTTAAAGATATATATTGTTAGTACTTTCTAAAGTTGCTGTTTGAGTTCACTTCTAAGCATACGTGGGGGACCTACCTGACCGCCTTGAAGCACAATTCTGAGCCACCCGCATCCATCGACTTCCCGCACAAAATAAGACTATCGTTATTTATCAGTTTAATAAACAGAGGGAGTATTTTGAAGTATTTGTCATGTAATAAGGAGGGTGATTGAAAAAAATTATTGAAAATTTTAAATTATCTTTCTGTTCTATTTACTGCATTTGGTGGCGTAGTTGCTACGCTATTGGATTCGGCACCGGGGTCGTGGGTTCGATGCCCACGCGGGAAAAGTATTTGTGGAATCCACAGAAAATTGATTCGAATCTGGTTGTTATTGCCAAGGTAGTAGGTACATCAGGCAGGCGACCGGTTGTAAAAAAAAAGCCAATTACATTAACAACACGATTGCCATGTTGTGTTAATCCCAAACAGGTGGGGTAAGCGCAGTAGAAAGAAGGAAAGAAGATTCAGTTCCATTTATATGTTCGGATATAACTTGTAAATACCATTTACATGGCGGATCATTTTCATAAAATACGCAAGTTGATTATATCTTTGACGGGGAAATGTAAAATTTTTATGACGTACAATTTTATTCCAATTTTACCCAGTAGTATTCGAAATAAATCTTTTTATTGTGCTGCATTTCCGCTTGCGGTCGTTAGGGGAAGCTTTAAAAATAGCTGGCCCCCATTTTAAGATTCTCATTTAGAAGTGTTAAAAAGCACTTCGCGCTTGAATTTGTTGTATGTTTAGTTTTATGGAAATAACGACACACTTTCAGACGGTTTTTCCTAATTACCCGTACCTTTAGAACAGTTGTACACAACGGCTACTTAGAAAAGTGTATTCTAAGTTATAATAAGAATTTTATTAAAATATTTGCAGTAACCCAAAATAACCTACAGGTCACTATCATCATTATCTTCAACATCTATGTTATCAATAATTTAATTAATAAAATGGTTTTGAACACAAATTTATTTATTATTAAAAAGTGATACTAGAGACCATTACAATAACTTCAAATTTACTTTTAATTTGAAACCATTGGTAAGTAGAATTTAAATTGTGAAAAAGAGACAATGCGTTTTATAAATAAATAATAATAAATAAGCCTGCATATCTGAAAAACGTTTCAATGAAAAATTATTTTCTGAGTCATGTTAAGTGATCAATAAAATCCCTGCGCCCTGCGCGTTTGTGAACCATTCGCTAATGTATAAAAATAATATACAAAAAATACAATTTATACATTGTAAATTGTCAATTGGTCCCGTTTTACCTTTTGGGTACGGAACCCTAAAAAAGAGCATAATATCTTTGTTTACATTTTAATAATTCAGATGGATGTGATTTTTTTCACTTGCAAACATTTTTTCATAGCTGTTACTTCGGATGCAATGCGTTTCGCGTTCTATATTTTGTCATAGCTGTTACGTCGTTGTTTCGGGGACACTGTGTTTTACATTTTATTATTATTCCTCACCAACAGTTTTAATTGGACGATATGAACATACGGCGGACAAGAGTAGGCCCCAGTTTTTGGATGGCCGTGTTTTTTGTTGCGTTCCCTTTGTTGACGCGACGCATATTATTGTCGAATTCTAGGCTCAGCTCCACATCAACAATGAGATATCTCCGTTGATATTTAAATATTACCGTAGGGAAATGTTATATCGCATCACATTAATATTTTCTGGTAGAGGTCATGTAATATTCTCATAAACAACTTAACAAATGATGATCTATTGGATTTATTTTTTAGTTTCATCATTAAAGTTGTTTACTATCTTATAAGTAAATTATTAAAAAAAATTAAGAAACATTTTTTAACAATCTTTTATTTAATATTTTCCTGAAAGATATTCCAATATTTTCTCACTCTTGGCTATAGAGTTAGTGTTAAAATATCTATTTGACAAATGAAATAGTTATCAGACAGTGAACCGTGCAATCTCAATGCACAATTGTACAGATAATCACACATTTAAACTTGACATTTGACGCGAGGTAACCTTGCCGCGATAATGTAATCAGATCCCTCAATCTAAATTAGCATAACTTGACAATCAATTCCGAGTATTAATAACAACTTTAAGTGCAATTAATTATTAAGTGCAATATTATGTCAGTGTTTTGTTTCAACATTCAAGACTACCTAAATATCTAAAATTTTATTTGAATCGTATTTCTACGGTTTAGATAGAAACTATGACAAAGCTATACACGACATGAGACCTAGTTTTCGACCCCGAATCATTAATGTTGCAGACGTATACTGCATGCATTGCAAAATTAATGTACGGAGGGCAGGAGAATTGCCCCGTACGGAGATCGATCCTTTGACCCACTCAAAAGAAGGACACTGGGCCAGTGCGAAAATCAATATTTGACTCCACGTGAAACGGTATTCGTCACATTTAAGCTCGTGGAAACGTAACATTTCCACGAACACTGGATCCGATGAAGGTTTATACAGCCTACGGACTGAAAGCGTAAAAATATATCTTGACAAAAACAAAGAAAAGTTGTCACGCTCAGTGATTGCATGTTACAATTAAATAGGAAACAATTGCAATGAAAATGTTATCTTTATAGTGTAGTCTTTATAGTGCATTTGCAGCATATGTCATAAACACGAAGCGGATGGGATTATGAACATTTCGAAAATCAAACCCGACAATGAACTGTGACTAACATATTGACGCACAAGAAACTGCGATTAAATGTTTGTGTTGAGAAAAAGTTACCTGTTAAATGGCAAGATTAAGCTAACTTCAAAAGAAATTGTTTTGAGTTATAAAATTATCAATATATGAAATAAGTGTACAATAATTCCAAATTTATTTTATATTTGTTTGCACACAGTGTAAATTAAAAAAATCAATGCATCAGTGACAAAGTAGCTTAGATTTCTTCTTTCTTTCTTTGAAGATGATCGTATGAGATTTTGTTTCTTCGGTTCGGTGTCATGCGACCCCAATCGAATTATAAGTAGCGTCATTATGTGGCACCCATTTTGTGACATCTATTCGAATAAAGGAAGTTTTTTAACCGAAAAACTGACCAGTTTGCGACTACCGTGCGATAAAATACTATTCGCAATATGACCATAAAAAACATTAAAGTTTCAAAGAAAAATGCATTGTTCTTAAACATCAAACAGTTAAAAATAAATTGAAATTTATTCAGATGAACATTGTTTATTCGCTTGCAGCAAAACTAAATTAAAAACTGAGATCGTGTTATTCATATGTTCGTGTTAATAACGTTAATGGAACTTCGCGCGCCGTTTTCTCTTAAACATTAATTTCGAATGCGAGCTTGGAATTTAGTTATCTGTGCATATTGACTGAAGCGCGAGCGATTCGTACGGGTTATTTTAAAATTGTCGCACGAATTAAATTTTAAACTGTCTAGAGGTGAAAATTAATTTCGTGGTAAAAAAATGACTGCTCGTTTCTACAATTTGATGCTTAGGCCAATGAACGGAAATATCTGTTGTAGAACTGAAGTGAAATTTATCCCCTATATTTTATATTTTTTCTAATATACATGCGCATACTCTTATATGCGCATACGTACAATCAAGGTTCGTGCGTGAATGGAACTGATGACCCGCGTCATTTAAGTCAATCTCGTAGTAAATGCCTCAACTTAGTTTTTATGTGAGAAAGTGGCGAGAGAACTAGCGGTTTACCTGGTGTTAAGTGATAATCGCCGCACATGACATTTGCGACACTCGTAGGGTTGCAAACCTTTTAATAAAGTGGGCTCTGGTTCACGCCGGTCTCCTGTGAGGTCGTGGTACTTCCCAGACGGCCCATTCGTGCAACAGCGAAGAAAATTGTGCGGCCCTACCACAGTTAAATTGCAGTTTACATTCTATCTTACGAATACATGTCACCACTAATTTTACTACTTAGGGAGCTTTCCTCTTGAAGTGTCTCCCGGTTCATTTTTTACAAGAAGACATGAATTTTTTCTTATGCATATTTTAAGAGCTTTATTTTTTATTTTAAGAGTTTAACGGTAGTTCTGGATAACTATTACATTATGACACAAACTCAACATTTCCCAAGAAATTGATATTGAATTGTTAAACGCTATAAAACGGTAAAAAGTTATATTAATTGTATTATTCGTGTAAAAAAGTAATATACTAATTGTTGATATGCATAATATATTAGTTGTTGATATGTATAAGATTATATTATAACTCAATTACCATTAATGCGGTTTGTAATAGCATAATCAGCCAAAATGAAATTCCGTATGATGCCTGTGAGTCAGATTTAACATATTCGTCGGAACTAATTACTTTAATTAATCGTCAATCTCCGCTCGAACTGATTATCCTCTCTATCATTCTGTCTCAGGCGTGAATTAAGGTTATGGATTGCGAATATAGTTGAATTATTGCTCATAATCCGTCACATTATACAAGAACCTAGGCAAAGAATTTTTTCACGATGCATATAACTAGGGTACTCCAAAAGGTTTGGAGCGGCACGTTAAACCACATTGAATTGTGGGTGTGATTTTTCGTTGACTTTGTGCATACTTTTCTTTGGTTCAACGACTTTTTTGAAAGGATATTCAAATAAGAATTATCGATTTTGAAACATGGTATCATTTTCTTTCATTTAAAAGTTAGTAAATAATAGCCTGTATATGAACCACTACTAGGCAAAGCCCTGCTCATAGTCCAACACGCGGCCTCACTGCAAATTAAGGATCTTTTTCTCATTATTTCGAAAATAAAAGCAGGTTTCCTCACGATTTCCTTCACCGCTGAGCACAAAGAGAGTTCAAATAAATAATGCAAAAATTAAACTGAGTAAAATCCGTGTGGTAACTTTTTACATAGTTGATTTTTTAAATTTTATCCAATTATTTTTCTGTATAATAATAACATTCATACAGATTTTTTGTTCTAGATTCTCCTAATTTCTAAGTTATAAAAAAAGTTTAAATGTATTTACGATATAAACTACGTAAATATGTATATAACCTATTTCATCATATTCTTTGTTATTGTTTTACTTTTATTTTCCTGTTTTTGGTTTTGA